TCTCAAAGCGAGAGGCCCTATTGGGATGAGTTTGTACAAGTACAAGACTTGGAAGAGGGTGTGAGTCGGGTGATAAAGAACCAACGTAATGCCCAACAAAAGACATACCACCATAACTTGGGATCAGGTGGCTACCCGATTGCCATTAAGAAGTGGAACAAAATGGAAGCAGACCTTCTTGCCAAGGGTATCAGACTAGAATCACTCGAGTGGGGAGAACGTGCAAAGAATTGGTTTTTCGCTCATGGGGGAACACTGGACCAGGAGACAGGGAAGTGCGTTTATGGCGCAAAGGCGCAAGAAGCAGCAGAAAGATTGTTTTATGCTCGAGAGAGCTACTGCTAGTGGTGCGTTCAGGCCCAATGAGAGAGAAGGATGAGCTGACATATGCCATCGGGACTATTGAACATGGTGGCCGAACTAGAGGCAAAGGAAGTGTCTCGTGGGAGCATGGATTCCCTCAGGACAGACCTTCCTACAGAAGCCACCAGAGAAAGAAGGAAGAAGAGGCACAGCGGCTCCAGAGGTCGGAGGAAGCGATGCATGAAGCATGGAGCGGGGAAAAAACCTTGAAGCGAGAATGCGGGGAGGAAATCGGAAGGCAAGTGCAAATAGCGGTGAGTGCAAGCAAGCGGGCATCGAGCCGAGGAATCAACATTAGCCAACTGTTGGGTTGAAAAGGTATTGCGGCTCCACGGAGATACCAAATCAAGGGGACATAGGAATTGCGCTTCCTCGTGGATGACGTCATGAACCTTGTACAACGTGTGAGCTACACATTCGAAGGGGAATTCCACAATCAAGGTGGCTATCGATCTTGTTAATCCTATCGACCGAACCAAGACACCAAGGATTCATGGGAATATAATCCAAGAAGGATATGCTACCATCTCGGTAGATAAAAGTGAAAAAGGTTTTAGTGATTTGCCTCTTGACATTCTCGGAGGTGATGGCGAGAAAACTCTAGGAGAAGCGGAGAAGACATTCATTCTATGGCGCAAGCGCTACATCATCATTCCGGGATGTCGACTCCACCTCCTCTGAACTACCTCACCATAGGAATGCGTGCGGATGAAAACACTACATCATTAATTTGTATTGGCTTCAATAATTAACAATCGCTCATAATAATATGTCATTCCTTTTTTGTAGCAGATCCTCCCCAACCTAAATCCAATTGTTCAATCGCGAGATCATCATAGTGCTCAGACGATGACATTGTGTTGGAAGGCGAGGCTGCATCCACACCATCTCCAAGGAGGTCTCCAACGCTGCAGCCCGCCACCTCCAAGGAGGTGTCCAACGCCGCCGCCAACACCTCCAAGGAGGTCTCCAACGCCCCCCCCCGCCTACCAAGAAGCCTAGCAAGAAGCCAGCCCCGCAAACGAAGAACCAGCCCCCGCCGGCAAAGAAAGCCACCGTGAAACCAAGGGCTATTCCCAAAATAATATCTGAAGAGAAGGAAGAAGGAACTGATGCATATAAAAAAGATATGTCTAGATTCTATGACAAACTTAAAAAGAATCAAGAAGCAAGGAGAAACCCGGAGAAACCGTACTTCTTTGTAGCTCCAGATATTCTAAGAAAAAGGGTGGCTTCTTACCAGCAACAACAGCGGGAATCTCGTAAGCCGTCCAAATCAACGTTATCGGACTATGACCGCACTCTCACCAAGTCAATTGAGGCGGCACAGAAAAAGAAGCGGGCAGGGAAAGGAGTTGCCCAACTCGGACAACAAGCGCACCAATCAGTCCCCCTGCTACTTGTTGGTAATGAATATGGTTCAAATTTAGGATTAATGCATCAGGCAAACATACCTCCGGATGTCGATTTGGATCACCTTGGTGAATTTATTGATGAGACTGGTCTCGACATTTACCAGATGTTTGGTGATGGAAACATTGAGAGTGCGGCGGAGGTTGATATTTAGAAGAAAAAATTTGTACTAGGCCAGAGTCTATACAACCCTCAAGCCTTATCTGATCTAGGGACGCAAATGTACCTGCTAAACAAGTGGTACATGCAGGCGTCTACCGGTGGAGACTTCTGCGTTGGTGTCAGAATTAGAGACGAACATTGGTTCCGTGGCGATGATGTTATGTATGTTGACTTTGCAGAATTTCATCAACTATGCCACCTGACCTCTCTGGACAAAGTTATCATTAGCTACTATTGCCTGTAAGTAATAATTCTTTTGATCTATTATTAAACTCATCATATGTGTGTATATGCATATAAATTATCCTAACAAGTACTATATATATGTAGATTTGCAATGATAGAGCTCAGAAAGGAAGGCTGCAATGAAATTGGTTTTGTTGATCCCCATATAGTATTCAAAGACCCAGTTACTCCAAAGACTAATTGGAAGTCTGAGTCAGAGAGTAACCTCATGAACTTCTTAGTGAACCAATGCCACAAGAAGGATATACTCTTTCCCTACAACTTCAAATGAGTGTTAATAATGTCGATCATTCTTAATGGCTCATATGTTGATTCTAGTTAATTAATGAGTGTTATGCGTTATATCCTATAAACACATGCAGCAATCACTGGATATTGATGGACATCGATCTAGTGAAAAGTCACTTGATAATCTATGACTCGATGAGAAAACCACAACAAGACTACCAAGATATGGTAGATATTATCCAGAGGTAATTTCGGTATCTCTAGCAACTATATATACACACAAACATGATGATTAACTATATCTGATGACGTGGCAAATTTTTTATTGGGCAGTGTTTGGAAAACCTTTATTGAGAAGCAACACATGGAAAAATGCAAAACGCCACTGAATGTAATCCCTTTGAAAGTAAGTCCCCTGAATTGCATCATCTTTATTAATTAAACATATAGCTTTCACCGGATCACCAGATTGGATGACAAATCTTTTTCTCGTAAAGTGGTGTCTGAGGCAGGAACAGGGGAACAACTACTGTGGTTACTATGTTTGCAAGTTTATCAAGGTGGTCTCCCAAAGAACTCCTACAGAGAGACTCAAAGTACGTTAGAAATACACTATATATTCATTTAATTATTATTATTGATTGTGTTACTATGTCTTTATATATATATATATATGTACATATATTAATTTATTTTCCTTTAATTCAAACATGTAGACTCGATGGTTGGAGGAAAAGGTCATACGGCAAGACCAAATCAAAGCAATTCAAGAGTCTATAGCCGGATTTTTTTAATGAGCAGGTCATCGATTCCAAGGGCGAGTTCTACTTCGACCCAACACTGCCATGGAAGCCAAGCTAGAGGATGAGAGGAAACTTGTTATATCACAACAACTGTAATGCAATCTTTTTGTAATATATGCACAGTCTTTTTGTAATACGAACCGGGACTAAAGGTCCTCCTTTAGTCCCGGATGCTTGCTCCCGGGTGGGGAACCGGGACTAGAGGGGGTTCCCCACCGGGAGTAAAGCTCTGTTCTCTACCAGTGATATGCATGGGAGGGAGAAAGACATGGTCGGCTTGGATGCAGAAGGCCTCCATGTTCACTCTTGCACCCACGCTAGTGAAAGACATGCCACCAGATCTAGAGTCCTAGCTCACCGCGGCCACGGACGTCACCAATCTGACCAACCAAAGGTGCAAAGTCAGATTTTTTTATCATAAGAATAACAAGATCCTATAGCTACATCTATAGGACAACTACTACTAACGCAATGGATCAAGGCAAGCATTACCATAGAGGCATATGCTGACATAATAGTTCTGATAGGCAAAACAACAATTGGAAAAAGAAAGACATGCTACATATGCATCCACAAACTGTGAACCCCAACCACCGTAGATGAAGTTTGATTTTGACTATAAAAAGAGCAAAGCATATCAATCCACACAGATGATGACAGATTAACTTGTAGTGAGCAAACATTTGCAAATTTTGTTCAGTTAATTTACCATCAAGGATATGTTATACTGAAAGTCCAAGTACCGGATAACAATTTGAACATGTTTTTTTTTCTAAACTTGATTGAACAAAAACTAAATTCACCTTTGTCAAGTGTAATCAGGGGCTCATTCAAGTTTGCAGTGAGAATTCCATCTTCTCTTAGTAATGCAGCAATAAAATGACACCGTGTAAGCCTATGACAAGATCAAACAAGACATGAACAGGTCAGAACTAAGGAAGAAAAAACAACCAGATATCATAGTACTGAATGCACTTCACAGAATACTAATAAGGTACTCAGAGTGGTGTTTGCATTATTATTGGGCTCGTACAACCACAGTTTAATCAACAATAAAATAAATTGTTGCCAGCCAACACATTTACAATATAGACATTGGCATGCCGGGACCTTAATTAGGCAAAAAGATTGAACTAATAAGAGCTGCAATTATTAAACAATGATTAGGCAACGGAATTTAAAAATCCCCCCTGCAGTTCGAGTTACACTTTACCTGCACACCAAACTGAAATTTAATGATAAAAAAACAGTACATTGCTTCTGTACCAGCAAAGAGAACACAATTCATCCAACCAAAGTGTTGCAACCTAACAGTGAGGAGCACAAGTGAGCCAAGCTACTGCTGTTGGGATGGATCAGCAGAGAAGGGAGGGGAGGAGATGAGAGTAGAGCATTGCGACTGATACGGATGTACAGGTGAAGAGGACTACCAGAAACCACCTAGATCCATTGGAGGCTGCCATAGTCGCCGTCCACCTTGACGGATCCGGCCGTGGTTGTCGAATCCCACTCTCCTGTATGTCTCTGGCCGTGGGCACCGTAATTTGACCCACACACAAGAACTCGCTGAGGGAGAGGCTAGAGAGTGGAGGCCAGCGTGCCGTTGGTAGGAAGGCCCAGGCCACGTTCCACCTCTAGAGCGGCTGCCAGATTGGGAAGGGGATTGGGAAGGGGTCGGCTCACTGGATTGAAGGCGCGGAGGTGCCGTGCCCGCCGGGCTCCTCTGCGTGCGTGACGGGTCGAAGACAGGAGGCGATAGCTCACGTCACCGCCCCTCGAGCCGCCATGGAGTACCAGCTAGCATCCTGTCGCCGCCATGGAGCTTGCCACCGCCATGCTTGGCCTCTGGATCTGAGAGAGGATAGGAAGCAGGGAGCGAGAAGAGCGGAGAGGGAGGAGTCGAATCTGAGGGAGAGAGATGCGGAGGGCCGCGAAGTGGTGGATGGGGCGCCGGCGCTTGGGGCGAGGTGGGTCGCGTGAGGCTGGAGCTAGTGCTAGCCGATGGAGGGGTGATTTGGGAGAGAATTGGGAGGGAGAAGAGCAGTGGCGGCGCTGATTTAGGGTAGAAACGTTTGCCTCTGTACTCTATGGGCCGGGCTAAAATTCACGCTCGAGCTGGGCTCAGGTGGGACCATTTTTTAGCGACAGACCACTACAAACTTCTAACCCTTGCGCAACGACGAGAAAACGTTGCAATAGGGCCAATTTTGTTGCAAAAGGTAGTTCATACCACGAAATCGTGTTCATTGGCAATGGTTGCAAAAAGTCACGTTGCAATAAGAACTTGCAACCGTTGCTAGATTGGCGTTGCAAGAGTTAGCTTTTCTTGCAACATTGCCAAGCATTGCAATAGGACGTTATCACAACATTCATTGGCGTGGCAATACGAGCACTTGCCACGTTTGTCTTCGTAGCGAGAGGTGGTAAATACAACGAGCGATAGCGTGGCAATAGATTTTTGTTGCCACGCTATAATTTTGTGGCTTAAGGTGTTGTTGCCACGACCGTTGTGCCGTGGCAAGTAAATCATTTGCCACGCAAATGTAATCGTTGCGAGAGAGTATACATTATTGCCACGCTTGTCTTGGCGTGGCAATAGTATCATTTGCCACGCAAATTTATCCGTTGCGAGATACCGTTCATTATTGCCACGGCCGTGTTGCCGTTGCAACAATATCATTTTCCACGCAATTTTATTCGTTGCAATATACCTTTCATTATTGCCATGACCTCGGTGCCGTTGCAACAGTAGAATTTGCCACGCAATTTTATTCGTTGCGGAAGATTAATTGTTATTGCAACAATAGTCATGTCGTGGCAATAGTATTATTTGCAACGTAAATAAGTCTGTTGCCATACAGCATATTGCCACGCATCACGGCTCGTAGGTATAACTTTTATTGCAACGCTAGTAACATTTAATTTTGGTTTAATAAATCATCATTGTAACGAAACCATGCCGTTGCGACAAAAAAGCGTGGTATAAGGGTTAGAAGTTAGTAGTGAACTGTATGACGATATAAGTCACTTTAGCGACAGACAACCAAACGGTGATTGTGAATACGTATACCGACAGACATTGAATCGCTAAATGAGGATTTAGGGTCAGATGGTCTCTGAGTTATCTTTAGCGTCAGATCATCCATCACCAAATATAATTGTTAGCGTCAGATGTCTGACGGTGAAGCGGTGTTGTGGTGTAGTGCACGCCCGCCGCCACCACCACCCTGCCGCCACCACCACGCCGCCACCGCCACCACCACGCCCGCCGTAGCTGCTCGCTGGTGACAGCATCCTAGCCGGACCGCTAGGATCCAACCGCCCGCCGCTGGATCCGGTCGCCCGACGCCGGATCTGGCTTCACCCGCCGCCGTGACGCCGGAGTTGACGCCCGTGACGCCAGATGGTCTCCCCCACCACCGGAGTTGACGCAGATGTCGAGGAGTAATGCCACTGCAGCAAGCTGAGGCCGGAGGAGGAGCGCCGCTGCACCCACGCCGCCCGTATTGCCTCGGCCACGCCCGCGCTGCCGGATCTGGGCTCCTCCTCACCCGCGGCCGTTGGATCCGGGAGGGAGGGGAGGGAGGGGTGCCGTGCTTAGGGAGGGAGGGGAGGGAGGGAGGGGCAGCGCCGGGGTAGAGAGGGAGAGAGGGAGGGGTGGCGCGAGGGAGAGTGGGAGGGAGGGGGCAGCGGCCGCGCGAGTTTATAATGTGTCGAGTTTGTCGATTGTCGAATCTAGGACACTCAGCAAAGCTAAGTTTGCCAAGTGTCAGATCACGGCACTCGGCAAACTTATCTTTGTCGAGTGTCTGCACTCAGCAAACTTATCTTTGCTGATTGCCTATCTTTTGCCGAGTGTTTTCTTTCTCGTTTGCCGAGTGCCAAACTTTGCCGAGTGTTTTTTTCCTCTTTTGTTGAGTGCAATTATTTTGCCATGTGTTTTTGTGACAGCACTCGGCAAATAGCTTATTTGCCGAGTGTCCGATAGCATGCACTCGGCAAATATTTTAGCACTCAGCAAACACCCAGTTTCCGGTAGTGGTTATGATACCTGAACTCTATGTGTATTTCTGGCCTGGAGAAGAGTTCAAACATCCTGCGCAACTCCTTGGCCATGCCTTCTCTGACTAATATATCAAAAATTATTGTTGCCTTTGTCAATGGTGTCGCCCAACCAAATAATCGCTCCACAAAATCAAGATCACGAGTAGTTCATCCAAACCGCTGGATTTGAATTTTTTCTAGGCCAACCAACAAAAGTTTCTCAGATCGCCAGTTTGATTGGTGCTCACAATTTACATCCAGGTGGACATGCATTCAATGGTTCCTGACACAACATGCCATATCAACACGATGAGATCAACTAAAAAATTGGATACCGTGAAAGTAGAGGAACCCAAAAAAAATTATCAGACTGCGAAAATACTTCAAGCTATGTCAGCAAGAAATCAAGTCATCAACAACATCTGTGGAAAATTCTACCTAGAAATTCATTTGACTGTAGTAGTATGAGTATTGTTGTAAATTAAATTGGCGCGACGGACATAATATTGTCATAGAATTGTACGCAGAGCCTGACTTATTGTTGTATCAATAGATAATATCCCATTCAAAACAATGCTAAATTTGACCTTAGGGCATAGATTATCAATGGAAAATTCGTCCATAACATCACTTGATGGGAAATCTTCATTTAAAGTACAAAGTTATAGTCAAAGGCATGTGCCATGTGGTGTAAGGTCCTACTTTTCACTGGCAGAAGCTAATGGTATAGATTAAAAGTTCACCTCAAATGGTGATATTAATAAAAATATTTCTCTACAGATTACATACAAATATTAAAATTTACAAACTCAAGATTGAAAGGCCATTGTGCTATCAAGATTGCCCTTTACTGCAAGAACTTAGACTACTTGTACATTACCATATAGTGCAAACAAACTCAAAAACTACACATGCTTCTAGCCCAAGTACTAGAGATAAAAGTGTTTCAATAAGGAGACATGTATTGAATACCATTATCATATTTAAACATCGGAACATAACATAAGCATGAACTCATGGCTTTGGCAGAAAAGAAAAGTCCAAGTGGAGATTTCATCCCCATAGATTACCTTTCTAATTAACCTCCCCCTTTGATCACTCATTGAAGGGTCTATCAACGATTGCACACATTCAATTTGCACTCAATTAAGAAGCAATAATAAGGCCATGGCAAAATAAAAGAAATAGGCAGAGCATGAGCTAAGCAAGCACACAATATATTATATATGGAGGCTGCTCGCCACCATGAAAAGCATCCTTTGTTATCCACGCTGGATCAATGCATGTTATCAATACACCCTAAAGAAACTTAAGTGGCCAAGTTGAGCATTTTACAAAACCGGTGATCTATTAGCTTAGCACCCACCAACACCATACAAGGTTGTACATCTGGTGCTATTTTCTCTTCTTTTAAGTTCTAATTAAAGAGCCTATTATATGAAAAAACATAGTTTTACCTCGGGAGCAGCAGGTAATTCTAGCACCAGCTTTCTTACACCAGTGCATACCCTGAGAATATGGAACAAGCTGGCCCCATAGGAATGCCCAATTGACATCACAATGAGGTGCAGAGTTGTAACTTTTGGAAGCGTCCTCACGTCTTCCATCAGGTATTGATGGTTCTCTATGTCCTGTGTGTGCATAGGAAATCAGAACAAAAAGAGAGATCATAAAATTTCAAGAAAGGTTTTATATCGCCAAGAACTATTTCTAGAAATATGCCTATATATGATTGGCGTGCTTTGGTTGTGGATGCAGTATTGGTGCCAAGGTATTGGTGGCTTAGCATTTGGGTCCATAAAATTGGCCCCTCAATGTCAAGTCCAGCAATTGTTTTTTTCATGTATATGGTTCCTTGATGGAACATGTTTTTTTCAGAAAAAAAGGGCCAAAATATATAGGCTAAATTGACCATATATATGCATATATATCTTGGGAAGTAGTGATAGCTAGCAAAGGACTCAAGCAAAGGAACAGGTGAGAATTCTTCAGTTGATGATTCTCCAATACCACCAACTAAGAAGGGACTCTGCTAGTGGTGTATTGTATCACATGCATACTGTGCCCAATAATAATTCTCAAATTTGTGCCCGGCAGGTAACTGGGAGGGCAATCTGGATCGGGGGCTCACAACTCAATCTCTCACACACGGAACCATTTCACATTTATTTCACACAGTAGAAGGAAGCATGATGACTGTGGTGTCATGAGCTGTAAGCCATCATATGTCGTTTCAGTAATGCTGGGAAGCGGGGCGCCTGTCCGCCCGGACACCGCTCGCCCCCCTCCGCTCCGTGCGATACAGTGCTTCTCGGCTTCTAAAAAAACAACGCCCCTTGCCTTCTCCATAGAAGGGGCCACCCGCCGCGGCCTTCTCTAGCACGGCGGCGCCACACCAGGCCCATTCCCATGCTACTCCAAGCGCCCACGCCACGCCACCATCCTCCTCGCCTTCGTGAAAGAGGAGGCAGAAGAGGCCTGCGCCTACGCCCCCATCCACCTCGCTCCATCGGTTGGAGGGGAGGCTTGCGCCACTGCAGTTCCCCATCAGGTAGGCCGTGGCCACCGGCAACGCTGTGTTTTAACTGTTTCAGGTGTTTTCAGACATGTTGCAAGCCTTTGTTTCAAGTTTTTCAGTTATTTCAGATGTATGTTTCAAGTGTTTCATACGGACTTTCAATGGACACAGGAGATTAACAACAAACCATGCTTACTGAAAGACATGAAAATGCTCCCGGGCGTTACAGTTTTGAACTTGAATCTAATTTCAAACGGACATGCCTTTGGGGCCAGCTTATTCCATGTCCTCAGGTTGTGTTCTGGTACAAGAAAGTTGACTCTGCATATTTCAAGCAACAGCCTGGAGGTAAAGTTATCTGTTGTTTATATTATGCATTTGCATTTCTCCTTGTTGGTTGCATGCTTATATTTTTGCT